TAGAGTGTTTTTGATGACATGGTGAAATGTCATTTAATTAAATCTGAACAAGTATCTGTACCGCCTACACTTGCATGCATTATGCTAGGTGCAGAGGATATAATCTGGAAAGAAATAGGCCCCTGCCCTCATGTATCTTACATTCTGAAAGAAAGTGAGCCAAGATTTTATTAAAAGGAACTTTTAATATTAGAGTGTTTTTGATGACATGGTGAAATGTCATTTAATTAAATCTGAACAAGTATCTGTACTGCCTACACTTGCATGCATTATGCTAGGTGCAGAGGATATAATCTTGAAAGAAATAGGCCCCTGCCCTCATGTATCTTATATTCTGAAAGAAAGTGAGCCAAGACACCGGGTACTGTTCAAGCTTTATTAAAGGAAAAGAATCTGCGGGCTGTGCTCAAAGTGACAGGGAGCCCAGGGCTGCCCTCAAAATGGAAGGCAGAACCAGGTGCAGGGGTGGTAGAGCTTATATAGGGCACCAAGGGCTGGCTGATACCATCAAGGAGGGGCATTATGCTAATGTGGAAACTAGGCAACCAGGGTGGAGAATTGCCCCTTGCAGAAGCAAAAGTGTTTCTGTTTAAGTCATGAGGCTTCCTGTAAAGGGAAGGGGGGAGGGGGTTGGTGCTGGAGTGGAAGATAAGGTTGGTGGCTATTTTGTGCTTATTGTATGCACAATGATGCCAGTCACATCCAAAATCCATCATTCCCACCTCTTAAGTATAAGAAGAAGGGAAAAGTGATGAAGGTCTTATTCTTCTGAAGCTACTTCCTGCTGGAGATGGGCAAAGATATGGAAAAAATAAAAGATTTATGTTGGTGGGCAAAACAGTTAGGTGGTGGAGTACTGGTTTCATGTGGGGAGACTGTATTCCTCTGGGGAAGGGTCACTGATTCTGAGGGGCTGATATTCTCCTCGCAGGAACAATTCAGTGACTTTTTGGTTGGTGAAAGCCTGCATTCATTCCTGCAAGAAATTAGAGAAACACCAAAAGAGACAGGGACCAAAAAGTAGGATGAGTCCCAGCATAGTTAGGTGGCCTAGTAGGGGCATAAACCAGGGTATCCAAGGGTTCAGTGACTGGGGCCACCCCCAAGGTGTGTTTGTGTTTTGTAACCCTTTGCATAGGTAATCAATGCTTGCCTTTAAATGGATTAAGTTGTTTTGGACCACCCCAGACTCATTTATGTAGTAACAGCATTTCTCCCCCAAGAAGAGGCAGGTGTCTTCCTTCTCAGCTGTAAGGAAGTCAAGGGCCTGATGGCTCTGTAAAGTGACTGTCGCAAGTGTGGTGACCTGTTGCTGGAGGGAGGAGATGCTCTCTATACTTAGTGCTGAGAGTTTTTGATAGAATTGGGAGGCAGTAGCAGGGACCACTCTGCCAGTCCCATTTGCAGCAAGGATCCCTGCCCCAGTTAAAAAAGGTACAATTAGTGCCCTACGGGAGCAGTGGCACTTCCTTGGGGGGGTGGGCAAAGTTAGTCCCAGTCCCGTCTCCATCCCTCCATCCATCTGGACAGTGATGTCTGATGTCGTGGTGTCAGCGACAAGTCAAAAGAATATGCAAGAAATCGTGTTAGGAAGCAGGCAACAGGATAGCATAGTTTTAGGAAGGAAATATATTCCTGTTTTAGGGCATGGATGATGGGGGGTAAGTGAGTGGTAGCGTTTGGTGTTAGTGAGGCAGAGTGTGGGCAGGCCCCGCACAGCGCTGACAGTCCCCACTGAAGTGAGATTGGAGGGAAGTGGAGAGAGATTTGTGGAAACATTGTGGGCTGCATTGACAGGGAGGGGGGTGACCACAAAAAGTTTCTCGCAAAGTGGGAGACAGATGAGTCACTTGGGGACCAGTCTGATTCACTGAGGACTGCATCGTCCCTGCAGACCCAGAGCCTCCATGTTCCAGGTAAGGGGGAGCATTGAGATAGGAAGAAACACACGGGAAGGCTGCAAAGGGAAGCGGCCTGCAAGAGCGAGAGGGTAATCGCCAGGGGAAAGATCATCCTTCTTCTGGGATTGGGGGAAGAGCAGAGGCCCTGGAGATTTTCAGCTTTGTGGGTCCTAAAATGGATGAAGTGTGAGGAGATGTCAGGTTGGGGGTTGAGCAGAGGGACCCCTCTGGCTCGGTGTTAACAGATTTTTGGGTGAAGTCTTGGGCTAGTTTTACCAAGGATAAGTGATGCCAAGGGGCCTTTCCTAGCACTTTTACTGCTGTGGGGGTGGTGAGAAGTGCTGTATAAGGCCCTTCCCTGCATGGTGAGAGGGGCTTTGGGATTTGGGTTTTAATAGACACTTGCTGTCGCAGACTCAGTTTAAAGTCTGAGGGGGTGGTGGGGAAAGGATGAGGTGATATAAGGTTGACCTGTTCTCGAAGAAGCTCTCTAATGAGCGAGAGTAGGGAGATACTGGCCTGAACATGATGAGCTGGAAGGAAGAGGTGTGAGAGTGAAGGGCCTACCATACATAAGTTCAAGGGGGCTGAGGCCTGTGGGCTTGCAGGGGGCACCTCATAGGCAAGTGAGTGACTGGCAGGGAGGCCAAAATGAGGGATGATTTCTGAGGTGGGAGCATGCGTTACTGCTGTAGCATCCT